TTGTTATCATCGCTTGGAACTCAATTCCTGCGCCTGCGCAGGTGACTATCTTCCGCTTTAATATGTAATATTACTCGGTGTGCGTTGATCGTTTGTATTTGCCGTAATCAGAATCAATCACTTGGGAGCAGAATACATAAAAACATCGAAACAAACTCAATGCCACATGAAATTCAATGCACACAGTAAATTCTTGACAATGGATACAGGAAACAATATTGCTACAGTGTCGGGAAGATTTGAATGGATCGTGACCGCGAACCCCAGATTTATTGGTACCTAAAGCGCGCATTACCTGACGTTAAATCTCAGTTCACTCTCCGTCACCTAAAGGCCATATTAAGGGTGATATCTATTATGTATATAATAGAAAAAGCACCATCTTTGATATTTATTATTTCACGAAAAGACATTTTAGTTGTGCTGAAACGGCGAGTTGAATTCGATAAACGTGTCTTGCACAAACGTGTCAGATATGTAGGCACACTCAAACTTGTCAGAATATTGCAATATTACCTGCAAGTCGATAAAGTCATTTTCTTCTTGACTATGAATTGACACCAGTTCACCTCCTAGTGAATTGCAGTGAGAGCGTCCGTCATTCCAACCCATTACTTCTGCGTTAGACAAATCAGTAAAATAGTAACACGTCCCGTTATACTCCAGCCAGTTTGTGTTGCCTTGGTAACAGTAGTCAGGTGGTGGAGGGGTGACCAGATCTTGCCCTATGAAAAACGTTTCAAATTTAATATAATAGCAATAAATATTCTAAGCACAAACACCTTAGGACCTCACTTCTATGCCAGGCTTTGTTTAGAAGTATGACGTTGCACACCAACCGACATTGCTAACAAGAACACCACTTTCAAAGCGGGGGAACCGTCACCTGCGCATGCGTCGGATGGCCATACCGTATCATTGTTTACAAACAAGCGTCTACCCATGAGCCGTTGCGTTTTTAGCGTGTGTTGTTATCGTCGCTTGAAACTCAATTCCCGCGCGTGCGAAGGTGACGACCCCCCCCCTTTAACATCGGCTTAAAGGGTCGCTGCGAAGCGCGCGTTCGAATTGTGTGTAAACAATTTACGTTACTCGTGTCGTATACGTCGCTATGGAACCCATACCGAACCAGAATATATAGCTGGTTTTGTCTGTCCTTATCAGCCGGGATGCCAAACATTTTGTCAGGTTTAGTAGAAATATACACTACGGAGTTAGTAAGCAGCTAAAGGAACGAGAAAATCACAACCCGTTGATTCGAGGTGAACCCGGTTCTCAAGGTGAGCTCTATGTCACAGAAAATTGCTGCCAGTCTTGCCTACAACCGAGGCATAACAGTTTAAAGTAGCTGTGATATGTATGTAGATGACGCAGTTTCTATGGGCATGGCATAAGTGAAAATAAATATGTTATATAGGGAATGTATATCGGATTTTAAAAGTAATATATATTAAACGGTACACATCGGTCATCAATATGCATTACATCGCCAAAACACAACATGTCTATTTTGTGGAATAAAGTTACAATGCATGAGAAGTACAGATCTCGATTCATATATTTACCTTTAGATATTTTGCAAACCCACGAATTCTGTACAGAATCACAGTTTTCTATCCACCAGTCTGTACTATAAAATCTTATACAGTCCTGACTTTCTGTATTATACGGATAGCCTCTTTTATAACTGACGTTAGACCCATCACTCCACTCAAAATCTAATTGATAGAAACACTTATATTGGTGATACACATTGCAAAGTTGAGTAATTCTTACGTGACTATCTGTGCTTACACACATTATGAAAATAATTAGTTTGTCTTACTTCCTTTCGCTTCGATGTCATTCAATCCATACCAAAACCAATAATACCTGTTGGGCATGATAAAAAATAATTTAGTTAAAAATCAGAGAGTTAATTTATTGTCGAATATGAAAACAGAACTAACCATGTATCAATGTGTGACATAACGCAGTCCTCTTCTTCTGGACTCTGGAAACTTGCCAAGTCAGCGCCCATTAAACGACAGTACCACAGGGAGTTGTGCCAGTTGAGTCGGTCTATGCTAGATTCGCCATAAGCCTTTAAGTTAAAGAACGAGGTCTGTTAGACAATGCCGTCTGATTTGAACTGTCCGAGAGCCAGTGTATTGCACCTATAACAATACATATATCTAATTGTACGCGCCTCTGTCAATTAACATGGAACACACAGTCTTTTTCAACTGGTCAACACGCCACATTTTAATATACACTCGCTAACAGAAACAATCCGTGTATTCCCGTCCGCGGTTAGAGGTATTTTTTCACCGAAATAGCCTTCATTACAGATCACAACATTCCTAATCTTTTTAAACAAATGTCTCTGTGTTCATATACTATATTTGAATACACAAAGTAATCTCGGAGTAAATTAATTAACCATTTTGTTCGACCCGCGGGTTAAATCGCACTTTCGTCAGCGTGTGGAGGTCCCAGCGGTTGACAATACGATGACCTGATGGCATAATAAACAAACCTTGGCCAGAACGGTTCTCTCTCAGGGGCTAATTTCTGCTTGGAGAGCATTTCCATATATTTTAATAATATTGAGTACATGAAGTGGAGTACTAAACAATAATAAATGTCGCGGGTTGTCGAGACAGAAATCTATCTAGACGCGTGCGGCAAAATACATCATGACCCGACATGGGTATATTACCTTGAAGCAGTTGTTACCATAACCTAGCCATCCATCAGGGAACGTGTTCGATATTACCGTCTCTGACGTCATGTAATTTACTGAAATGAAAACTTACGTCAATCTCATATACATATGACATGTTTTTTTGTCTTATAATATATTTACTGGATCTTAGAAGTCTAGAAATTATTACGCGATTTGTGCAATTTTTGCTCTGTGTGTCAATTTCGAAATGATCAATTTAGACACGAGGAGAATTAGTTTAAATGTTGACAACCGTAATAGGCATCACGATAACACTTTTTACTCTCGTTACATTTCCACTCTAGCTATGAAATTATTCAATAATAATAATTATTGACATATACATGACTTGTCATACAGTACTAACTTATCAAGTCATTATGACTTTGATTGACACCTGAAAGTTCATTCGATATAATTAGATGACTTTTCGTTGTATTGGAACAAATTGGTTAGAAACAAATTATACACAGGTAATATGCGCGTTTAGTGTGCGTAGTTTGATATAATTATAGATATTACTCTATGAATATCATTTCAATGGAAAACATGAACATAGAATTAGAGTGGTTGAATTATTAATGACCGAGTGTAAATAAATATGCTCCTGGGCAGTTCAGGATCGTGAAATTATCGAGTAGGTAATTGTACAGTAATAATGCCCCTGGAGAAATTTATTATTTACCTAAACGTCTGAATATTAACTTCTGAATCATTACTGATAGAAATATAATGTATTCTTGTAAGTTGAAATATGATATGCAGAATTCCACCGAGGCCCCCGGCTAGTGTTGAATTACACCATGGAACAGTAAACTTGACCAGCCAAAATCTAAATATGCACAGGTGGCTTGTGATTGGTTGTTCACAGTACAAAGCACATACAGATTGGAATTTGTCTCCGGTCGGGAAATTATAAAGCATGCTTCGGGTGTCGTTTTTTTTTATACATTTATTGGTTCTACATGTTTTCATATTTTACTTCATTACATATTGAGGATGGGCTGCATATGAATTCCATAGAATTTCAGAATATATGCATTTTTTAAATTATTTAGCATATTGTTTCTCACCATTACATTAAATCTCTTCTGTATCTGGAATTGCGATTTCTTGGCTTGACAGATTTAAAACTTGAGATAGTATGACTGAAATAGATGATATATACATTGCAAGTGAATTTACACCGATAAGAGAAATCAAACCCACATCTTCATGATTCAAGTTATACATGGTCATCACTGTACATTCGTGTCCCAAAGCATTTCCTCAATCTGATACAATATGGTTATGTAGTGGGAGGATAGAATGTTAGATGAAAATAGGGAATCTCGAACTACATACTCACCTTTAGGCATTTTGCAAACCCACGAATTAAGTGCATCGCAGCTTTCTACTAACCAATCTATAAAACTCGAATTCCAATTAACTATACAGTCTTTGTATTGTGTATTATCTGAAGTGCTTCGCAGGTGATCTACGTCCGACCCATCACTCCATTTAAAAGCTAGTAATAGAATGTTAATATCACATTTTAATACACTGGTACAAACCGGAAGCGCTTTTAATGTGTTAATGTGAGGTTATTACTAAAATACATCAAAGTATGCACCAAGACAGTACAGCTAGAGTATCGACCGACGCGCAGCGGAGGTCGATGAGCAGCGTACTGTCTGAGTGCATACTTTGATGTATCCTCGTAATAATCTTATTATTATACATATTTTCCTTCCAAGTATACACCATGGGAATGCCGAAATTCAAAATGTTTTGAACAGAATAAGCGAATTTCTTTGTGTGGAGTCCGGTGAAACTCTGGTGGCAGCCATATTTGTTTTTATTATTAGAGGACGCTTAATCATTCCATATTTGGTAGGATGAAAATACCCCGTAAAATACCGCAAAATTACGGCACGCTGTAACTTATGGCGTTACGGTGACAGGTGTGTAATAATACAAATTATAAAAATAATTAAAATCTTATGTTTTCTTACTTCCTTCCTGCTCAATGTCATTCAGTCCACACCAAATTGAGTACCTGGTAGACAGTATAGTGAAACACTTTAGTTTACAGAAACAAGGAACAAATATTAAAAGTCGACAATTTAGCGAGGTCTTGTATATATTTAAATGTTAACATGGAACTAACATTCCTCCAATGTGTGATATGACGTAGTCCTCTTCTTCTCTGCTGTGAAAACTCGCCAACTCAGCTCCCATCTCACGACAGTAGGCCTGGGAGTCGTTCCAGTTACGTTTATCATGTTGTTTATACGTCTGGAAATTAAGGGACAAAGTGGATGGAAGTGTTAAAGTGATTTAGTGTCCCTTTTTTGTGCGAGATAATGCATGTTGATAATGCCCCATAACCGTGGAGAAATCAAATATTAGCTGTGTTATCTAAATTCGTCACTGCACTGTCGTAAATAAATGTAAGTATCACACAAATGTGTTGAACTGGTGGAAGTTACCTAGCGATAACTAAATGTGCAATTGATATCACAATGTTAAGCTAATATACAAATATCCAGTTTACCATAAAACAATTATCACCGTATTCTACCCATCCATCAGGGCACGTGTCCGATATTACCATCTCTGACATTACGTGATCTACAGAAATAGACAATTCCATGTAAAAGTACATGAATGCGATACATTATGTATGCCGATGTATTGGCATTGTGGTTTGGCGATCGATGCCCGATATGTGATATATACCGGATGTCATTATCAATATGTTTTCGAAGTGTCCGATTGTCCAATAATTTCCAATCATAATAAATCAGGAGATGTTTATCACATATTGATGACGTGTTGCACTGTATACAGTACAATTCCATGGCAACTTACATTATATAACAATTTGGGAATATATAATTATAGATTATATATTTTTTATATTGGCATATATATTGGCATTGTTTATACTTAGTACTGAAGTGAGGTAAAAATGATTTAGATTGTTAATGACATAATACATGTTTTCACTGTCACGGCATGATAAATGCATAAGGCTTTTAATATATCATATTCAGTAACCAACAAGATGGGTGACCTGGTTTCTACAGTGTTAATCCTTCACTGAGCACGTCACACTGGTGGGACACGCTATTTGCGTTGTAATGCGATCGCACAAAGTGAACTAGACAGCACTCGGGGGAAGTGCCAACCTACGCTTAGAATTCACGTAACATGTGTGTACGGCTTAAAGCGTTAGCTTTTTTACCTTTTAGGTATATTGTGAACCTACGCAAATACCCTGGTTATGACATTTGATTCTTTGTTCTAAAAACTCTAACCGAGTCGGGTTACATGAGGGCGGTCTACACATGACTCACAAAACGTAAACCGTATCTTAAGATTGGCATTCAACTGATTGTGTTGGTTAAATATGTACACACGCTTCGGATTGTGTCTTTCTTGTTCACATATATTTACAAATTCAAGATATCGCAGGTGCACTACTTACACTGTACTGCAAAACCAACTTTTTGAACGTGACAAGGTTCGAAGGCCGACCACTGACAACGACTTCCTGATAGAGTTCTAACCTAAGCAAGAACGTTGCGTCGAAATTTCGTATTTTCTTATAAAATACACAAGGGTTACAAGTCATTCATGGTGTCTAAAATTAACACGAGTGTTGAATTTGTATCTAGATTGCGACCGGATAATATCTATATCACGCGCAGTGTTTGAACGTGGAATCGCTTACGACAAAACGTTACATGTGACCATCGTTCCCATGCTTACCGCCTCCTACAGCAATAGTACCTCGTCAAATTGTTCTACTTGCAAATATGCATGATTTAACATTACAGTGATTAAAATGATTTATTGTTTGAACTGGATATTTTGGAGTTTAACAAGTGTGCGGTTGTTAAAATAACGATTTATTTTCCAATTTTCTATACGAAATGTGCATATTAATTAGCTAATTTGCATGTCAAATGGATTGAAACTCGATACTCAAATGAATTGCTTATATTGTTTAGTATATGCTAATTTAGATTTGTGCATATTAATTAGCTGAACGTTCTCAGTGTGCTCTTTGTGTATGATGTATAATAATAGTGTTTTTTTCAATTAGTTATTGAATAATAATTAGCTGACTTGCATATTAATTGTGTAAATAGTTAGCACACTGGAGCACATACAGCTGGTATTGAATGGCGTGTGTTGTTGCTAGGCGAGATTTACGCGTAAAGTGTGACATGAAATTTATTAACTTGCTTTGTCGTGTTTTGTCGATTTAAATAAATAAGTGTAAGTTTCATCTCACTAATATTGTTTGCGACAATGATTGATTGTACTTGTTTCTGGGTCATATGATCGTTGTGTATTAGCTCCAAATACAGACCTCTCTAGTAAGTCAATCACCGAAAGAATTCATAAAATACTACAAATAATCATGTGACACGTTGTTAAATATTTCCTAAAATAATATAGGTTAAGGGCAGGATCAAATCCCAGTACTGTGTTGAGCTACCGTGTAAAATATACAGTCTGTTCATATTAAAATATTCCAATATAAAGGATGGAAAGATCATGGACCATTGTCATCAATGTACATGAGATAATTAGTAATGAGTGACATGATGTTGCCTTTGCTAACGTTTGCTACAATTGCATAAAGGTTGAAAGAATTTGTTCACATCATTTAACCACTGTGTTTAATTTAAAAAGTTTTTCGAGAATATTTTTACTGAAATGGTATCTCATTTAAGAATGGCCTTGCGACACGTACTGATCTCTGGCCAGTCAAAAGTAGCAAAGTCTACCAACTGCTGACTATTATTCAAGTACATCAACGCAGTATTCGACGGTATTGTAGCCTGAATGCATGGACACCCACCCACTCTGAGAAAGAACGATGGTGGATATCTTGCTAACACAATGAATATGTTAAGTTAAATACTTACCTAACAACGCAAGTGACAACAACAGGTAGATTATACAACGTTTAGCCATACTCCCGAATATGAGATATATAATATATTACTACTGTGGGCGAGTTACGATCGGAATGCA